CTTCTCTTAGCTGCTGTCATTAACCTTCTGTTTACCTACAGGGGGGTGTCTACTCAAATGCCAGAGCTGATGGAAGGCTGTTCAATCTTGCTTGCTGATCCAAGACAAAGGTGCACTAAATCTCCATCAGAGAATTGCTGTACACGGTTGATGCTGCACTAACATTCCACATCAAAGGATCACCTTCACCAGCAAAAGGACAGACTGCCTCATGCCGCTAAAGAGTTGGTTTGACCATCAGAATCAGGAAGACAACCATCATGGTGCAGGATGTTACCATCCCACTGTCTGTCAGCATTAACAATGTGACGCCGGATCTTGTTGATGTGGATTCCACAATCACCAGCAAGCTGTCATGTGATGCCAAAGTCAGCACACATGTTGCAGACCCTCCAGCTGTCATGCCCAAACTGAGAGAATGTCTGTAGGTTTAATGGGTATATGTTGATGGAATTATCATCCTCGAGCACCTGAGTCTGTGATCTTGTCCTGCCAAGAGATCTCAAGGATATATCTGGATCATGAAGGTGGAAACTGTTCCACCTTTTCTCCTGTCCAGTGTAAGTTGTTAAGAATGCATTGCTGTGTTGAAGATGGGGGCAAAGTGGACCCTAAGTGTGGTGTTCTCGCTCAGGTTACTGTCATCCGCGTTCTCTCAGTTTGGGCACGACAGCTGGAGGGTCTGCAACATGTGTGCTGACACCTGGGACACAGTTGCTGATGGGTGTGACCTCCAGAGGCTGGTTGTTTGGAGGGACATTGGAAAAGGTGAAGCAGAAACAAACAACTCAGCTGGCTGAGAAGAGGAAACAGAGACCAATCATTGTGCACCTTCCCAGTCCACTGCAGTAAATGTTGCAAGGGCTGCCATACTGGGGGTGCTCCTGACAAACACCAGAGAATACTCAACATTGTTGTCCACCCTAGTGCAAGCCATCAACCTCCAAGCATTAAACTCTGGTTAAGCCTTAACCAGAATATTGTGAGCTATGCAATTTTGAAAGAACATCAAGGTATTAGGGGAAGCTGCAGAAGAGATTTACTAGAGGACGATGGAGATGAGAAACATCAGCTACGTGGGAAGACTAGAAACACTCAAGTTGTTCAGCTGGGAGCAGAGAAGGTTAGTGGAACATCTTTATAATCAATAATGGTTTGATGCAGTGAACAGGAAGAAACATCTTCCAGTGCCAAATGGTATAAGGTGGGCACGCATGTCACATAAAAGTAGCAGAAATGGCATGTGCAAGCACTTTCGCACAGCAAGTAGTGTGATCTGAAATACATTGCTTGAAAGGGTGGTCAAAGCAGTCTTGATCAGAACAGTCAAAAAGGATTGGATAAATAATTGAACGGAAGGAATAATCAGGTCTATGGGAAAAGAGAGTAGTGGGGTTAATGAGAGAGGTCGACTGTAAATCTGAAACAGGCACAATGAGCCAAATGCCTCCCTCTGTGCTGAAAGATTCTTTGAAAGGATTGTTGTTTTCTTTCTGCTTAAGATAATAAATTTGAAAACTCCATTCTTTTCTCTGTGATGTGTGGGAGAACAGATAAATAAATGCACATGTGGCACATCTTACAGAATCCGACGGGATATTTCCTCCCACAATGTCATACAAAGGTTCACCAATGGCATGTGGTGTTGCTCCTGAAGCTGTACTGCATTCACAGCTTGTCCATGCCAAGCCTTTGTACAATGCTACAACTCTGCTATCACATCTTCTGTATTTCTGTAACAGCACAAACTCCAATTGCAATGTGCAAATGAAAGTTTAGCCGCATCTTCCACAGGACTGACAATTCAACTCATCAAATTCATCATCTAATGGGGTTCCATGTGACTCAATCACTTACTGAAGCTTGTTGTAGCTTCAACATCTTGAGAATACTGTTCTGAAATGTTGACCTATCTTTGCTCCCTGTGCATTTCTAGTATTTTTCTGTTTTTGTTTCCCCAGCAGTTTTCTTGCACATTTTACTCTCGATAAATTGTTGCTCAGGATCAGTAATAAAAGTAGTCATATATTGTTCATAAAACTGAGGACATCAGTATTTGGAGATAGTAGGAACTGCAGATGCTGGAGAATCTGAGATAACAAAGTGTAGAGCTGGATGAGCACAGCAGGCCAAGCAGCATCAGAGGAGCAGGAAGGCTGATGTTTCGGGCCTAA